AGACCATAGAAGAACTTAGAAGTAATGGTTTCTGTATCCATGCTGCTATTAGGAAATATACGCTTATGTTGCTCAAGGCTCATATTAGTTCCACGGTCACGAGTCAATGAATCGTATGCATATGACTTTTAAGACATCGATGTATCCCGAATTCCAGCGGGAACTGGATTGATGAACAGGTCTACACATTTCGAGAATTGCATGTACTCTTCGATAGAACTATTTTTTTAATTCGCCCAAACTAATTATTCAGTCTATAAGGGGATTCCTTGTGAAGGGCCATATTACCCTAATGGCCATATTCCCCCAAGTTACCCTAACGATGTGAAACCTTGATAGTTCGATTCAATGGGCGAATCGACAGTAGAAAATCAAACTTCCACGCTACCGTGACAATAGCTTCACATTACATTCTATGGAAAAACATATTTCTAGGGAAACGGCAGAAAAGAAATGAAACGTAGATTGTACGATAGAGTGTGTGAATCGACTGAAGAAAATGACACTTCCACGCCATCATGACAAGAACGCAGTTTCCCATTACACTGAATGAAAAATATATTTCGGGCGAAACTACAGAAAACGATGTGAAACCTTTATAGTTTAATTCAATGGGAGAATCGACAGTAGAGAATCAACCTTCCATGCCAATGTGACAGGATAAAAGTTTACCATTACACGGTATGGAAAAACACATTTCCGGGGAAAGAACAGAAAAGACATGAAACATGGATTGTACGATAGAATGTGCGATTCGACTATAGAACATCACAATTCCACGCGACTGTGACGAGAACGAAGCTTCCCATTACACTGAATGGAAAATATATTTCGGGCGAAACTACAGAAAACCATGTCAAACCTTGATAGTTCGATTCAATGGGCGAATCGACAGTAGAAAATCACAATTCCATGCCGCAGTGACAAGAACGAAGTTTCCCATTACATTCTATGAAAAAAATATTCCAAAGGAAACGCGATGAAATGACCAAATATAGGCAATGCAGTACAGAATATGCGAATCGACAGTAGAAAATCACAATTCCACGCCACCGTGACAATAACTAAGTTTCCCATTACACAGTATGGAAAATACATTTTATGTGAACCTACTGATAACCATATGAAACCTGGTTAACTCGATTGTGCGCAAGGACTGCAGAAAATCACACTTCCACGCCACTGTGACAAGAAGGAAGTTACCCATTAAAATCTATGGAAAAAATATTTCGGGCGAAACTACAGAAAACGATGTGAAACCAGGAGAGTGCGATTCTATATGAGAATTTATAGAAGAAAATCTGAATTTCACGATCATCAGGCATTAGTGAAGTTTACCATTACACTCTAAGTAAAAACACATTTCTGGGGAAAGGACAAAAAAGAGATTGTACGATAGAATGTGCAATTCGACTATAGAAAATCAGAATTCCACGCGACTGTGACAAGAACGAAGCTTTCCATTACACCGTATGGAAAATATTTTTCGGGCGAAACTACAGAAAACGATGTGAACCCTTGATAGTTCGATTCAATGGGCGAATCGACAGTAGAAAATCACACATCCACGCCACTGTGACAAGAACGAAGTTTCACATTACACTCAAGCAAAAACATATTTCGGGTGAAACTTCTCATAACGATGTGAAACCTGGATAACACGATTGAATGTGCGAATCGACTGTAGAAAATCACACTTCCACGCCACTGTGAGGATAACGAAGTTTGCCATTTCAGTCAATGGAAAATATATTTAGGGCGAAACTACAGAAAACGTGCGATAGTGCGATTCATTGTGGAAATTACTAGTAGAAAATCATATTTTCACCACCATTTGGCTAGATCGAAGGTTCCCATGACAGACTATTGCACAGTACTGCACAGTAAGATTCAGAAAGATTCAGTAAGATTCAGAATCAACCGTAGAATTCAGACAGAAATGTTAAGATGAACCTGACACCTGGCTTATCTGACACACTTTTGGAAAATAAGCTACAAAAGAATAGTTTCACCAGGAACAGGGAAGAAAATATTTTTCTCCTTGCATGCTATTTAAAAATCTAGTCCAAGAGAAACGCTATGGATGCACCTGAAACCAGTCTTACTCCAGTCAATATGCGTATCTACGGAGAAAAATCACATTTTTCCAGGATTTGACTTGAAAAATTTTTTCATTATTGCCTTTCTTAATAAAGATATTCAGAGGGAAATGCGATTGAAGTTTCTGACCTTGCTTCATATGACTCATTGTGTTAAGTTGGGGAATTATTATTTTTTCACAATCTGGAAGGAAAAAACGTTCTCATTATGGAAACAGAACTCGTATGAATATACCTGAAATCAGCATAGTACGATTAAAAATTCCTATCTAAGAAGAAAAAGCACAGTTTCTCCACGATCCGGTAATAACAAGCTTTCCCATTATACTCTATGAAAAAACTTTGTCCTAGAGAAATTTCTGGAAATACCTGAAACCTGCATAGTTTCCGTCTACGTCTTAATAGCAGAACTTCATCATTATCTGGAAAGAACAAACTTCCCCATTATGGTAAACTTGGTCCACCAGAGTCGCGATGAAAACACCTGACATCGCGACATTGCTTCATATGTAATTGATGATAAGTAATTGTAGAAAGGAGAAGGTGGAAGCGAAAAACTTATCCGGTATTTAAAAATATGGGATGGCGCAGAGATTACTGCTTTGAACAGGTTGAAAAATATTCTTTTTTAACCCTTGAGAACAAGCCTCACCATGATTCCAGTAGTATTTTATTTTCTGGAATTTTATTAACTAAGAAATGTAGACAGTCTCTTATTCAGCACCATGGAGTTGGCCAGGGAGCATTTCCGTGCCGCGATCCTCTACGACCAGATAAGTGCTTTAAATTAAGCGCATTATCTTTCCCTTGAGCATATTACGTTTTGGGACAGAGTATCTTCCATAGCCGTAGTTTTGCGCTGCTATACCGAGTTTAAGAGGGAAAGAACCAGCATATAAAAATTATCCCATCAGTGGGGACTTGCAACTCCTTCCATTGAAGAAAGCATCAAGAAAGTGGAGGCTATGTTTCAAAGAGATCGAACATGCATACACCATGATATTGAGGAGTACCTGAATATTGGATCGGGGAAGGTTTCAGAAATCCTGCATAGATTTTTCCGAGTCAGGAAAATCCCTTGCTTGCCAGATGAGCAAAAAGGGGTCCGAGAGGAATGTTACGAGTACATGCTCTAAACTTTCACAGAAGGCCGCTCAAATTTAAGCTTTGACATCGACGCTGGTGAGGTTTCATGGATTTACCAGTAAGACCCGGAAACAAAGGGGCCATATGAAGTTTGAGTGTTCCATTAGGACAACATACCCCCCACAATGAAGAGGGGAAGAAGTTTGGAGAAGAGAAGCCACTTTATTGTCAGTGCTCATGTGGCGACAGTTTCATTGGAGGACTGAATAATAGTGAATGCTGAGTGGTACATCACACCGTGCCTGCAAAAAGTTTCCCAAAAAGTGCAAGAAAAAAGACCATGCCCTGGGCTCCGCGGCCTCCTCCTGCATCGCACACGTATAATCATGACAAGATTAATTTTCCACGCTATTTGTAAAATCAAGTAAGTGTGGATTCGACATCTAATCCTAGTAGGGAAAACAAGGAATCCCCAGCCACTGGAAATTTCATCGCATGCCACTTAAAAACTCATGCGAATCAGAATTTAAAATAACCTCGGCCGAGGTTATTTCAAATTATTAATAATCGTGCGATGTCAAAAAGTTCGCGTTCTGAACGTAGTGTGCTTGAATCGTTAAAGGAATGAGATTTCTTGCGTTTACTCAGTAGCTTGTCTGTGGCTTTTGTTCCATTCTTGAGAGGCGTACCTCCAGGCGATACGTAGGAATCTCTCATCAACGGATATAATAAAATTTGTTATCCAAGTTTCGGAACTTTTCGAAGTTTTTAAATGTAATTAGCAGAATTTCCCGAAAATATTCATTATAAGTGAGGAATTGATGCAGTATCGAAGCTCGATTGGGGAGTCGAATTTTGGAATCGCCATTAAGATGCCTCAAAATTACCACCTTCAGATCCTAGGCATGTTCCGATTTCAACACTTCATTGAAGAACAAAGAAACAAAGTCCTGAGTTGAGTTACCTTTTCAACTCTTTGAATGCGGCTGATTCAGTTCGACAAGTTGAATATTAAGTGTGTGGCCGGAGAAAGCGACAATTTTCTCTCAATGTTTGTGTACAACATAATGTTCATCCTTCCCAGAGACTGAAGCCTGGTTAAATATAAAAAAAATTCTGAAATCCATGGCAAAACTTATCTGAGCATAGTTATTGCAACCACCAAAATGTCAATCGAACGCATAACAAGGGGTAATGGTCCCCCCCCCCCCTCCACACACACACCCGCCCCTACTCACCCCTAAACTTAGGTGCGGTGTTGTTATTTGCTCATGAGTTTGGCTATGAAGCTCGTCAGTAGTGGGTGCCCAGTTGAATCAATCGCTCCATTTATTGCTAACATGATATCTTGCCTAACCAGGTGCACCAGAGTAGATGCTGGGCATGCGAGGGCATGTCAGCTCATTATTCCTCCTCGAACCTCATCGGGTGGGAAGCCGAAAATAAACCGGAGAAGGGGGGGAGGGAATGAAAGATGAAGGAAGAACGGAAGGAGGACGGAAGGAGGGAAGGAGGGACGGAAGGAAGCATCAGCCAGTCAGTGTGCAACCACCGACGACCGTCCTCGTTCAGATGTGAGAAGTGTGGGATATGGCAGAGGACATGATCATTCCGCACGCAAGCCAAGTCTCCGTCGAGTTCGAAGTCTACGGACAGGTCCAAGGTGCGCACTCGAGTCTTTCCTAAGACGGTAACCTATAAATCCTGATCGATATGATCGGTATGATTCTCCAGATATCGACTTACTGCAAATGAGCACTGATCATACAATAAGGAAAGGTTAGCATAAGGCGCGGAGTGATTGCAACAGAAACCGTTCTTAGTATGAACTGTAATATAAGGGAAATTAGACGATTTCTGCCAACGTTTCGTTGAAAAAATAGAATTCCTACGGCGTGACTCGACGCGCTTATCCTCTCCAGGAGAAGAACCGCGTATCTCCATTTGCATTAACTCCTTTTCATTCAGAACTCTTGAGAGATGAATTCCGGAAATCCATCGTTTCCGCCTAGAGGAATCATCGGCGGGAAGGGGATGTCCGCCTAAGTACAATTTAAAAAATAAGTTCGTGACAAAGTAAAGACATTATTTAACTGCACCGGTGAAGGAAACACGGTCATCAGATCCTGGCGATGCAATAAAGTACCTGTATTTAACTATCTACGAGTCCGAACTTAAGGGATTTTTTTTCCTACCACAGGATGCTACTTCACGAAGTACTGCCGAGAGATGTGTGATAAACTGAGTCTGTCCGGCTGGGTGAAGAATTCCCGGACGGGCAGCATCGTCGGCAAGATCCAGGGGGAACGGGACAAGGTCAACGAAATGTGAGTTCGTTTCAACGGTTGCTCGGCTGGTGAGCGTTTAGGACTTCGCGAGAGTGTCGGAAGGAGAGACATGACTGTCAGAATGAATGGGGAAACGAAAGTGGCTGTGACGATGGGGTGACGGGTGGGATCTTGCTACAACAAAAAAATACGGTGGAAATACTGAGAGTGCGGTGCTGGGTAATTTGCCAATAGGGAGGAATTGGCAGGTGTGGGGAAGAGATGTGTATCTTCGGCGGGATTTTCTTTGAGGGCGAGCGTGGGAAACACCGCCGGAAAGAAAATACGCGAAAGGAGGGAGAAGCGAGGGAAGAGAGACGAGGACATGGGAGGACATGATTCTCCTGGACGCTTTCCAGACTTGCGAGAGGCTCGTCGACTCAACGGGCCGTGTTACATCCGCAGTTTCCCAGGCTCCGAAAACATGGTTTCCCACTTCCCAAGGACGCCTTGTTTACACGTGCTGTTTACTTTGAGTAAATTGTGGCTCGCACTACTAGTGGTATGGTTAAGACGGGGATTACAAACCCCGAAATACCCCGCAGATGACGAGGAGCAGAAGTGAGACATGACACCTGAGGAATTCTAAGGGGCGAATGGGTCCCCCCCCCTCCCAGAAGGCAAGGCTTGGCTCCGCTTTGAATTGCACTCAAAGCCAAATTTGTGGGAAAAGTTCACACATTATCGTCGCAAATAGCAGCCCTGTTGAACTTCCAGAACTTAATGCCCGCTTCCATGGAATGAAATTCCACTGCAAGCTTGCAACTGGGTTCTCTTGGCTAGCTGACAGCCTCAGAGGACAAGCCTCTCACCTTCCGTTTGCATCGCACGTGTTTCTAATTTGAGCTTGGATTCTAATTCCAAGTGGAATTGTCAGACTCTCGTTTTCGCGAAGCAGACTGTTCTATTCCGACGTGGTCATGCGAACAACCGATTGCAAGAACGAAAGTTGACATGGAACTTGTACGGTATTAGTCTCATTAAAATGTTAACATATTAAAACTTGATGTTTTAGATTAGTTTTATCCTCGAAGAGAAATCCGTAGACGATCAAAAGTTTCTTCACCCTTTTTTAAACTCCAAGAACTGCAGGTTGACGAACATGAGAACTTGAAGGTCAGTATGCGCTCATGGAAGCATAACTTTTTCGGACGATATACTAAATACATATTCTCTTATCAAGTAATGTTCCAAAAGTCACTGGTGTTTCTTAGGCAGGATAAATATTCAGTTTCTTTTCTTAATTTTTCAATGTGTTTTTCTTCGAGAAATTTCGTTTCTCTATGTCGTATTTTTCGCCCTTGAGGGGTTCCAAAAAAGCAGTACAATCGCTGTCAAGTTCCAACACGAAGGAAAAATGCAAAAATTACTTTCGAAAGCTGATTACATGCTACCCGTTGTCAGCTTGTTTATCATCTTCAAATGTCAATATCTGTCCCCGAAATATCCCGCAAACGATCAAAATTGCCAGAAAAATCGTCTGGGGATGGCAAGGGTTGGTTATCAGCACGGACCTCTACTGCTCGTATCAGGCGAGACGAAGTAACGTAAAAAACGGAACAGGTTGCTACCGCGTAGCTTCTGCCCAACAAACGAACAAATTCGTAACTTTGTCCTTTCTATTCGTAATGTTTGGCTTTCCTTCGTTGACACCACAGAAAGAAAGGGGGCTTCTGCTTGGCTCAGGCACCACGTCCACAGTCCCTCTCAGGGGACTGTGGACTACACTCCAAGTATAGGGATTAGCGACAGTCCACGGGTTGCCAAGACCCATGACTGGTACGAGAGTAGTTTTAGGCGCGCAGCACTCCTATCGGCTTAACCTGGCCCGCGGAGAGGCGCACCTCTTATCCCGGCGACAAACTGACACTATCCGAAAAGCAGGTGGCTCGCCTGGCAGCGGATGCGAGGCCGTCACCTCCCGCATTCCACGAAAACCCTAAACAAACGCCACACTAACACAACGTCCACTAATAACACGTCCACACGTAACTAACAACACGTCCACAGGAACTGCTGCAACTGAAGCTCTCTAATGAATCGCACCTCCTGCAGATTGTCGACAGAAGATGAGGCAGTCAGCTCATGAGTGAAAGAGGAGACCAATGCAAAAAGCACGTATCACATCACGATCATCGTTGACGAAACTGCCTGTCCAAACGATCGGATCGTTGTTGATGAATCCGCAGACGAATTCTCCCACTCTAGCTGGTGGGGAAATTATATATTATTCACAGTTGTATAATATACCGCAGGCAGTCGAGAAAGAGGCGAACACGGCGAAGACATCAAGTGAAGTTTCATTATGAGGAGCCCCAAATGAGTCGTCTTAGACGATTCCAGTGACCCCAAAAATTTCATTATTTTCCTTCCAGGTAATTTTCCAGGTAATCCAGGTATTTTCCTTTCAGTTTCTAAATATGCTGGTGATAAATTCGTTGAGGTATCCCGACTGACTTCGGTAAGGGACATTTCCTAAGTGATTAGTGTTTAGTGATTTATTCAGGGTGTTTCAAAAGTAACTGCACAGTAGAGAAAACATGTCAGAAAAACGTTTTATTGCTAGTGGTCAAATACCAGCAAAAACTCCACGAAACACGTCAGAGCTAACACAAGACTTCAAATTTGAACTGCAATTCGAAAACAGTTCGGCAGCAAATCCATAACAGCTTCAAAAAATGTGATCCAACCACTTCGTTTCAGTGCACAATTACATTCGCAACACTATTTGGAATACTATTCCTCTAATTACAAGCCGTTAGTCATGATTTCACGCTCAATTCTCACAGACCAATGCAGACAACGATCAGGAAATCCTCGTGTTAAAATGGCCGAAATGTCCATACTAGAGTGAGACCAATTCCGACATCAAGTCCACGTTACCTAATTCAACATAATAAGAAACCCATACAGACTTTTACAACCAAATAGCACCAATGTTTAGTCTCAAAATGTGAACGGATAGTGTGTGCATTTTCCCCTCGAATGGCACAGTTCCCAGGACCATCAATTTCAAAACGTAGGTGAGAGAGCAGATTTTAAGCTTAAGTGCTTCGGAATTTGTAACGTTGTTCAAACTCATGTTACTTTTGAGCAATTTTCCATTACTCATGAGTGGATGTCATCACAGGTCACTCAACTCGAGAAAATTTTCTCGACAATCAATCAGGTCATCCCTATGAAGCTTTCGCCAAAACTTATCGAGAGCCTACTCGGGGGGAAAAATTCATTTCCTGGGAAGCTGCCAAGAGAGAAGACTCATCGAGCAACCCTCGCACTCGCGGCCGGGACCGAAGATTAACGGCCAGGTGCAGCCGGCGAAAGGGGGGAGGAATGCAAACGCACGGCAGTCGACGAATCTTCGCCTCCCGAATCGGGAAGGAATCAGGCCTGGATCTTCGGGGCTTGGGAATTCAATCGATGCTCGGTCGGGGGGGTTCCTGGACTCGCTCCAGCGGCGGGTTGCCAACGTTTTCACCCGCTCGCATGCCCTCGCGGTGTCCCCACTTGTTGAGGGTCTCGACAGGATAACAGGTCCCGTCTCCCGAGCCATTTCAAAGCCTAAACCACGATCAGTCTTCGCGATAAACTCGGCTCGACGCGAGCGCGGAGATGATGGATGCATCCGAGCGACAGCTGGGGACCGGATGCGACTGGCAAGGGCGTATTCGATCTCGTTTGGCATGCAGGTGCAAACGTCCATTAGTCAATATGGGGATTTCAAGGTCAGACATATCGGAGATCGAAATAATCTGTGAGCGCTTGCCAACTGCGCACCTTCTGCGTCGCTTCTCATTAATGGTCTGAAGACGAATTTGGACAGAACGGGGGGGGGGGGGGGGGGGTTTCCCCTTGCAGATTAGTTATTCCTCTCTAAAATCCCCATTAAAGCCCAAGCAAAGTAGCTAAAAGTCAATAAGTTTTGCATAACATCTCACAGTCCATCTTTTCCTCTTCAAAATACTCTAACATGATCCAGGATAGACAATTGGGAAGCTCAGATCCTACAGGTTATAAAATGTTCCATAGCTTTCGAAAGAACTACCTTTATCGATAATCAGACTCAGGTTCACCTTTACTCCCGTCTTTTCTCTCCGCAGGACCATGTGGCTGTCGAAGCAGGGGAGCCCTGGATGCCGGATCGAACGCTGTGAATTCCGCAACTGGGAACTCATTGTGAGGCCAGATTTCAGGAATTTCAGCATCCGATTCTGATCATCTCATCCGCCATAGGATGCTTTTCCTCTTTCTCGATTGCTTTTTTTTTGCAAGAACCTCCGGTGAAGTTCCACCATTTTTTAGACAGACAGTGTTGCCAGATGAGTGACTCCCCCCGCCCCGCCCCGCCCCGCGAGTTTCGTGCGAGACCATAGAAAAGTGCTTCTCCTCTGTCGCCACAAGGTATAGCCGAGGAATCCAGAAGACATAGAAGACATTTGGGAAGGCAAGGAAGTTTTCAGCGCCATTCGGCAGGCGAAAAAATCGCTTCATTAAAGAGTCCTTATTCATATCCTTCACCGTCTCTCTCTCTCTCTCTCAAGGTCATCGGGGTTTTGTCATGGTCTATGCGAATTTAGATTTCTAATTGCAAAACAGCCAGACTGCTTGGAAAATTCTGATAAAACCAGGCGAAATGCTTTGAGATGGGCGGAAATTCCCATCGTAAAGAAAATTTTCAAGAAGCGTCTTGAGAACCGGGAAGCAAATAATCGGGATTCGAACTTGTTTCCCGGGCTTTTTTTTTCGCGCCATGAGGAGTCAGATTTCGCGTTATCGGAATTTTTGGAGAAAAGAAGGGCGTTTTAAGGGAAAAATGTCGCTTTCAGTTTGCTTTCACTGTATTTAGTGGCTTCTTTACAGGATGAGTCAAGGTGCGGAAAGTCCACAAAGTTTTTCGGGGCGGAACGGGAAAGGGTAAAAAAAAAAAAAAAAAAGTCCAACCGCGAAAAGATGGAACGGAGAAAATGCGCCAAAAAATGGCAGAAAGTCGACAAATGTGGCAATGTGTAGGTTAACTCCATTCGCTTTGCGAGCAGACTTCGCCTTCGTCACTTGTTTAGTTATTGCCTTCTAAAATTGGAACGATCGTCCATCTTCAGAGAGAGTTAACGACCCCGAAAAGGGTTCGAACCGCGCTCGCGCATCGACCCAAGGCAGCCGTACAGAAAATATCGCGATCCACCGGAATCCAGAACCATTTCAAATCCATTTTCACCCCTCGCGGACGCGGAAGTAGCGATTTTTTTCAAGAGGGAAAATGCACGCGACCCACCTCGACGCCCCTCGCGACCCACCTCGATGCCCCTCGCGACCCACCTCGCACCGATAACCGCATTGAGGGATGCCACGACAAGTTGGGAAACGGTTCGGTCGAAACCATCCACCTGCCTTCCATTTTCTCAAGAAGCACTTCGGCAGCGACCGATCGAGCTGGAAAGGGGGGAGGTGGGAAGGTGGGGAGGGGGGGAAGGTGGGGAGGGGGGGAAGGTGGGGAGGGGGGGAAGGTGGGGAGGGGGGGCAGAAACGAAAGAAGCGAAGGGAAAGGATCTCGCGATTGCACCGTCCCCAAGTGAACGGTCGGCTCGAATGCAAGCCTTACTCAGGCTTGCATCTTCATCCGACACATATCTCGAATCGGGATCCTCTTCCTGCAGAGGACTCGAGATCTCCCGATCCGAGAAACTGGGAAATTCTCCGTGGGAAATTCTCCTCGGGAAATTCTCACGGCACTCCTCGTCCTTTCGGCTTTTCGGTGAGGCGATTCCTCCCAAAAAAAAATCCAGTTCCGCTTCCGCGGAAACGTCGGATTCGGCCCCCACGACCCGCCAAATCTCCCGCAAAACAGCGGGTGACCGAAACGATTGCGTCGATTTGCTTTCGCAACTTCGTGCTCGCAAAATTTGCATAACGTATCGAGTTCGTGATTATACGTAATTTATGAGGGCATTTAATCGTTATTATCGGTACTGAAGGTTATAATCGCATTGGCATTAAAAAAGCTTTTGCTAAACTGGTTCGAGAAGAAAATTTTGAACCGATACTCATTTCTAAACCGTGCTAAAATTTATGGCATCGTTTAATGCAAAAAAAAATCGCACCGATGTGCAATGTCGCAATTACGATCGAAGAAAAATCGGGTCATTAAGAATCGGATCCGCGGCGTCGAGTAAGCGCGTACTCGAAGCCGAAGCAAAAAAAAAAAATTACTTTTTTGCCGATGCAAAAATTTGGCCACCGCCGTGAACCTCGTTGGCTCGCACCCAGAGCCTCCCGAGGATCCTTCGCGAAGGGCGGTGACGCTGCGCCCGTCCCGAACCTTTCCCGTTTGATCATTCGCATGTTGGAAGAAAGGAACGGGAAGATGGGGAATTACCGGGTGGTTCTCGGGATCAATGGGGAATGCGTTGGAAATGGATTTATTCTCGAGCAATTTTTTTTTTCCCCTTTAAAATTCTCTCATGGAAGGAAGAGAAGTTTAACGAAGATGTGAATATCAGCACGTTCCCTGTGACATTTCGAGGACGAAATCGGCACGCAAAAAAACGGAAGTCTCGAGGAGCCATGCGCGCTTTCGCGCCTGCGAATTCGCGAAAACGGACGCAACGGTCCGGTTTCAAAAAGGATCGGAACGTAATCCCCTAATCCTACGTAATCCACGGCTGCCATCGACGAAGACACGCCTCGCCTCGACTCATCGAAGACCAAAGGGCTGCCTCGTCGAAACGAACTCCACCACCAAAAACCGAAAACGAGTTTCTCGAAAGACAAATAAAAAGTTCCTCGAAATGGGTCCCTGCCAACTTCTCCTCGGTTCCGATTTTCTCTCAGCACAGTCGCCAGCAACTCGCATGCATGCAATTCCACGTAATTCCTCGAATGAAGAAATGCCACGAGGTGCCCGATTCGACCATTTCCGACTCGGACGAAAAGCAGTTTGCACGCAGAAATCGATCTAAAGAACGCAATTTCAACCGATTTTCTTCATCTTTCGCACAGATCTCAAGATACACGAATTTAAATGCGACTTATTTTTCGTTCTCGACACCATCCATCCATCGAATGTGCATTATTTGCCGTTTCTAACGACGCCAAATTCCAGATCGGCACTCGACGCCGCAAAATGTGAATATTTTTCTGCAGAAGTAGCGACGAAATCGCTTGCTGGAACGGTTTTTCACCGACTTCTACACTCGCCTCTCCAGGAACACCGAGTTATAATACGTCATTGGAAGGCACGACGTAAAACCCTTTCTAAAAAAATACCAAATTCGAGGTCAAACGACCGCTTTTCTTGCTGCATTACATTCCGTTATTTATTTTCTCCATTAACGGTATTCATGAAGGCGTGGCGAATAAAATCAGCATATTTCCCGACGGCACCGAAAGGGTTCCTCAATCGGGACGGAGCGAGAACCCAGAAGGATTTCTGGCTTTTAGACGGAGCGGAGTGAGAATCGACTCATGCGGTTCAAAAAGAGCAAGTGTGAGGTTCTTCGAATCGATCATCTTAACAATATCTGAATCTAGGGATCACCATCGATGAGGAACTCAAGTTCGATCTCAAAATATAAATGTGAACTGATGGCGTTCGAGAGGGTCCAGAGGCGGGCCACGAAAACGATCGAGGAGGTAAGGTCTTCCATGACTTTGTCAGTAAGATAGCGAACGAATTAGGTGATGTAGTGGCTGCCCCAAGCCACTGGTTTTAATTGGCTTCATGGCTAACAGACCGATGGATTTAATTGGTTAGATGCCTTCGTGAAGAAAGCGAAAGGGTGAGCATTGTAGACGTATGCCACTAGGACACCGGTAGACATGTTCCAACAAATATATATATCCTTCAGAGGATATATATATATATTTGTATATATATATATATATATATATCCTATGCCTATCTCGTGATACGTGTCGATCCTCTCTTCAATCTGATCGACAGAGGTCTGAGAGTATGGACTCATTTCATTTCAGGTCATCAGGTTAGCTGAATTTTAACTTTTACCATGTGAGATCCTACGAACGAATAAATAAAGGCCTTGGCTACGCTGAAAACCAGATGAGCAATTGCCTCTTGCCTGGGCTCAATTTAAATCTTAAAATTGCTGACAAATATTTGACCAATCCATCACTGCACTATTGACTCCAAAGAGGTCAGTGAGAAGTATTGCAGCACGCTAACTGGAGCTGCATAGGAAGCTATGAGATACCGTACATCTAATGGACTCACCACCATCCCCATGGAATTATGGACTTTCTCCAAGCACACTTCAGTCACATTCCCTCATCTTTTCCCCATCACCAATCTGAGCTACACGTCTCCAGGTGCAACACTCGGAAGTTCTGCTTGGCAGCTACTCTACTGCAGGAGGGAGCAAACTTCTTGGGACAAGAGCAGCGGGATCAGGACCCCATCTGTTTATCAATTTAGAGCAGTAGAATCAAGACCCATCTCTTTATTGATCAGGTGAAAAAAAATTGGGAAGCAGTAGAGAAACTGTTTTGGGCAGCAGTTGCAGGTGACAATTTCTCTAGTTCTTCCTCTATTTGTAAGACACTGTCATATGCAAGTCATAGTGTTATCAGGGTAGCAAAAGGGCACCACCATTGCTATTTGAGTCAATCTACATGTGAAAACTTAATGTGGGATGGCTGCTGCAAAGCACAGGATGTCCCAAGGTCCCAAGTGCAATACCCACTACCACCTGATTCAGATACGGGGGTTCTCATCTCACCCTGGGAGTCTACTGCATCCCACTGGAGGGAACCAGGACTCCCAAGTGTTGCACAGAGGGACATGTACTTCCTCTGGGCGATGAAGGATGAAGGGGGGAAGTGCTGAGTGCATGGAGCAAGTTCATAGTCAAAAGCAGGGGTTCTTAACCTGGGGTCCATGGATCTTGAGGATCTGGAGAGTCCATAGGTGCAAAAAGGTTAAGAATCACTGGTCTAAAGGAAGAGAGGAATATATGGTGACAAATGAATAAAAAAAATACTCATGTCCAAGGATCTACAAGCCAATGTCTTGTGATGGCATATCATAGTCTTAGGCTTCAGTTATCATGTTGTCAAATCCCTTTTGAAATTTGGCAGGGAGAGGGTTACTAAATTGTGCTATTTCTCTATTGTTCCTCCTTAATTTTCATATTGTTTGGCAATCTACATTCTGGATTTTGTGCTCATGGCATAGCCTTGACAAAATATGTTTCCAAATCCTCACTTGAAGGATGAAAGTATTAATAAGAAAAGGCAAAGTTCTGTATCATGAGCATCAACAATGGCTTTGACTGTATGGTGTGAGAAGAAGCCCATTTCAATGCCATCCACTCTCACAGCTCATTACATGAGAACAGTAAGGAAGTCTGGCAGAGGAACTCATCTCACTGACTGCTTACAGTACTCCATAGTTGATTCATTCTCAGCTACCACTGCATGTTGCCAAAATTGTTTACTGCACAGGTGAAAAATCAGACCATATCAGCAGAAACCATCATTTGTTTTGGCATAGTGCCAATGAAAGCGTAGATGCTTTTTCACACATTTCCAAGTCTAACTTTCTTATCAATGTGCACATGGGTTATATTCACAAAAAAATGTCTCTGCAGCATCATCATGTGAGTAGGGAGATACCTTCATGGATTGAAGTACCTCTTATGTACCTTGATAGCTCAATAGCTTTGATGGAACCAACCACTATCTCTGTCTGCCTTGATTCAGTGATGGGGTAAGGGGCCAATATTAGCAAAAGTGCTAATGTTTGGTGTTGTTAAAACCAGCCAATCCCAAGCCCTAAAAAGGGCAGTGTCTCATCAATGAATGAAGTCCATCAACACTCTATTGAATCCACACATCCTTCATGTCAGCAAAATGATAGACCAATGAAGCCACATTGGATTCACCTGCAAGCAGCCATGATTCCAGCTACACTCTCAAAGTCTATTTTCTCAGTGATGTTCTTTGTTTTCACATTTTCTTCCTGATTTGCAATGAACATGAAGCCATCTCCATTGTCTCGCCATCCATGTTTGTCACTCCATTCTTTCAGCATCAGTTCTAAGAGAAATGCAAGGATATCAGAGTCTACTGCAATGTTTTGGCCCTGAAAATGACATTACAGTGGAGTCCATTTTGGGTCAACACCCAGTACCTATAATGCAGTATAGCATCATCTTGAAGCAAAGCTAAGTTGTGGTGGTTAATTGCATTGCCTACTTCACCTACAACTAAGTATAGAATAAACAAACTTAAAATACAAGATTCTACATAAGAAATTATATATCTACATACAAAAATGTAATCTTCTAGAAAGCAGCCCTTGGTGTGCTAATGAAATTGGCAGACAGAATATAGTCAATATGTGGTGAGGGTAAATAACTGGTGATGAAGGCGAGTGTGGGAATTGGAAGGGAGATGAAAAATTTTCCAAACAAGGGGGTGAAATTGGATAGTGAATGATAGGTCATATGATGTAAGTTAATAAATTGTTTCTCTGATATCCACATCTTGCACTAATTCACAGTTCATGCTACTTCTATGCTACTGCAAGAGATGGAGAGTGAAACTAAATAAATGTGGTGTCAGTTCACATTATACAGCCCATCATTTGCCCTCAGGCATTAATTCATAACCTGGTTCTACTCATATATTCATGTTTTCATTTTCTAGCATACTCAGAAGAAATAAGAGCATCAGAAACAGAAAACCATCAATCAAATCTCAAATGCTTGGTTTTTAAGTGCATGGCTCTCATAAATTGGGAACTCACCAGAGACGCCCCCAAGGAGGTCAACCAATTTGGTCTTCTCAATGCGCTGGAATGTAATGTTGATGACATGGCAGATAAATCGGCGGATGGAGTCTTCAAAACCCGTGATACCCATCACCAGGTCTGGTGATTCTTGAATCTTCTCCCAGAATTCCTTGAAGCGACACATCTCCAACAGATCAGCCATGTACATGATTCGTAAGATGGTATTTTCTTGCAGCTGAAAAAGACAAAAGATCAAAGATCTAAATTTGGTGCTCCTTAACATGACCTGCTACCCAGATTTTGAAGGGAGCCACCATCTTTAACTAAAGGCATATATGAATGCATATTTATCAAAGTAATTTTTCATGCCACTGCACACAATCTGGATGAGCCATCTTTCCATGTTATTTCTGTTACACTGACAGAAGGATGAACATAAAGAAAGTTTCATTGTGTATGGACTGCATAGGAATTTCATCATCATGGGAAATGGGAGACAATACATCTTGATAACTTAGCTGATGTTAAGGAATTGCTCTAAATGGTCCTGTGAACTTGACTGTAGAATCATATTGTGATTACTGACATGACAGTGCATCCCCAAGATCCTGATGGCCATCAGCACAAGAATGGGTAGACCTTAGGAATGACAATTCCAATGATCATGTGCACGGTATGGTTCTTATTCAAGTGGAAGAAATGAGGTTGGGATCTTTCACTTGGCAATATGGAGAAAGACTACAAACTCATAGACTACATAACACTCATAAAAGAACCTTCTGCATAGTGCTGCAAGGCAGAAGCACTACCACAGCCAATCAAGAGTTGAATTCTACTATATATTAACTACTACAAAACCTCTAGCACAGACAAGAGAGATGTCATGCTTCAGAATTCATACTCACATGTTCTTGCGCCAGGAGACATTTGCAGAGTACAAAATCCGTATGCGGGAGATTAGTCAGTGCTTTTAAGAGGATGAGGGCAGTAATTTGAGTCTTGTAGAATTCAGGATTGAATTGGTACAGTTTGAGAACTGCAAGATTTGCCTCCAGGTCGTATTCATTGTCCCTTGCCTGCAACTCGATGTATAGCTCCAATGTTTCACGATTCTCTGGATTATACCTGCAAGAAATGTGCAATTGGAGAGCATAAGTACACATTACTGTGATAGGCGTACCATGTCTTGGGCCCAGGCACGGGCTGTCCACACCGGCCTGAAATACCCCATAATAGGCCTCACCTTGCATATCGCACAGGCTGACCCTATATATACCATGGAGAATGCCCAAAGGAAACCATAAAAGTAAGTTTTCATTTCATTGAGAGTTCGGTAAATGATATTTTGTCTTACCTATCGATGCCCTTCAACATCGCAGAGACAGTCTCCCGCATGGTATCCGCCATGTTTGCAACGACACCAACCAAATGCTCTTCGCTCCAGCCCTATTCCCCAAGGACTCCAGCATATATGAACTACGAGGCGAAGGATCCCAGATTGCTGACATGATATCGACGAAAAGTCATTTAAAACACAATCCGACGGCCTTCCAATTTTTTTTTATCGTCATACTTTTACACACGATAAAGAATTTCGGAAGGTATAAATAGAATGCGTTCGCCTTTCACTCCCGGCTCCCCAGGCAGTGCCACGTGCAGTGGATCAGCAGTGGGTGTCGCTCGCCCTGGGGTTTTCTGAGCTTTGCATTCGCAATCCATCCTTGCTATTGAGCAGAGCACCGTCGCTTCCTTCTGAGAAATGGTACAATAGTCATTTTATTGTTCTACTGTCGCCTTACGCGTGAGGACAGTGTACCTGATGTTCTGAAATAACTGGTAAAATGTTGTGGCAATGACACATTCAGGAATTTTCCGGGGAGATAGGAACAGACCACGTCACTCTGCCCATTTTTTCTAAAAAAAGAGGGAAACCACGTATTTTCCAATTGGGGCTACTTGTATGCCTTTGCCCATACACAGCGCCCATTTTCACAACCGCCAAAAGATATTTAGAAAAATGAACCTTTTGACTATTATCTGAAACTGGTGGGCCAATGCATAAACGCTTGAACCCAAAACACACTTTCTTTGTGAGATTTTTTATCGAAAAAGTTGTTTCATGGCAATTTTTATGGAGCTGTTTAAGACATGTAAAACAAGTTCCCTGGTTTAGCCCTGGATAAGTCCACAAATTGGGCTAAAAGTTGTGCTGTTAGAGTATCAAACCTGAAGTCAAAGCTTACTACATGTGGGATATCAAATTCCTGAAAATATTGAAAATTATAAAGTATCAAACGATATCATAGAGGGAAACTAGTAAGTGACCTGGAGACTAAGCTGTCTATGAATTCTCTACCCTGCATGAGTCTCAAACATGCACTCAAAAAACCCATTTCATAATGCTCTGTGCCACTATGACACCATGACAGTGAAGGCTGGGTTCACTTTAATCCAGCAAAGGAGATGAGGGGTGGCTTTTTTTTTCTCCTACTATCTCCCACCCACATTGACATTATCTAAGTATTGCTATACTTCCAATCCAGTATCACAGCACTGTTCCTGTCCAGTATTGCACAACCCTAAACCCAATTTATAAAATTTTAAATTTAGCTTTGGATAAATCTACTGCTCTTCATGTTTTAGAGAAACAATTATATGCCTAGGGCAACTGGGGCTCTTGCTTGGGAGCAGGATGTGGAAATTTTCCAAAGTGATAATTAGGCAAAATTCAACAACTATTTCTTTTAAACAACTTTGGATGTCAAGGGAAGAGCCTTTCTTGTTCACTGAGCACTGCTGTAGGTATTGGGTCAATGGGGATGGTAGATTTTGAACACCCTGCTCCTCCCTCTTTCCTTCCCTTTACCAACAGCACAAAAAGTTGGTTGCTTATTTCTAGTCATATTTAACCATCTCATGTGCAGAGGCCTTGCTTGAGGGCAGTTGCCTTGTGTTTTATTCATGTATCTTTGGGACTGATTGCACCATTGCATAATGTATTAAGGTCTCTTATGAGGATAGCAATTAGTTATAAAACTTTTCAGGTCTGCTAGGAAATATATTCAGTCAGAGAGAAGCAGAGATGGACCCTGACAGTAATTTCAAGATACATGCCTATCAACCCTTTTTTAATTTTCTTCTAGGAAGGAGAATATTTATACAGCGTGAACATTTTGGAGGATGTGGATATCCATGAGCAAACCTATTTGAAGCTTCCATCTCATGTTAGTGCCAAATGCCCAGGACACAATCTTCTGACTCGCCCACTTTCTTGTAATGATTTTGAAAAAGGTGTGTTTCTCTCTCAACCAAAGCATATTTTGCTTGGAGAATCAATTGACATCAAGGCTGAGAGGAAGTCATTGGTTAGGTTTGAAAAGATGTTTAGGTTTCTTTCCCCCAATAAGAATTAAAATACCCAAATGAGTCAACATGAGATTTCTTTCCTCTTCGCCTGGTTGATGTCATCAGTACATTCTCCAAGTGAAAGTGCATTCTCCATTTTAATTATTACAATATAAAATATTTTCAAATTTAATAGTGAATGCCTTGAGTGAAATTTCCTTCCTGATTGCAGGATATGTTGAACTCCTGAAGCAGCTGACAGATGTGGGCACAGTAACAAGGGAAATGTTCACAGGTAGGATACCAGTTGACCTACAGACATCAAGAAGGGCTTGATTTTTTATCTTTTTATTGTTTCAAAAGATCAATCATTAAGCTTGAGCTCATGACTTGATCTGTATTGATTCCTTCTGGAGCAGAGAAGTTCAAAAGGATGAAGAGCTGTAAGGAAACCTACTTCATCACCGTCATGGAAGACTTGACGACAGGGAAAATCATTGGATCTGGGTCATTGGTCCTGGAAGAGAAGTTCATTCATTCCTGTGCCTCAGTATGGTTTACCATTGATTCCTTCCTCTCTCCAGACTGTTTAATCCTGTCATAAACAAACTCTTCTACATTCATAAACATTACCCATGCCCCATAGAGATAAGATATCCACTGGTATTTGTCTTGGGACAAGACTCATCTTTGAGTACAAGGTGATGGAGGGGAGTGGGAGAGATAATCTAGCATTCAAAATACTGTATATATGCTTCAGTCTTTTGTCTCAGTGTGCACTATACCAATATAAATGTTCAGATTGCCATAATCCTAATTTTTCTCAAACTGTATACTGCAAGCCCATGTATGAATGTGAAAACCCATTTGAACATTCCCTTTCATCACCCTCCCAACCTGACTTTCTTCTGCTTCTAATTAAATGCTTCTTCCAAGATGTTTTGTACTGTCAAGGAATCTGTTGTAGGTAGCTTTTCAAGTTTGAGAATGAGAAGTTGCTGAAATTACCAGAAATTACAGCATTTATCTGATTGAAGCCTTCTCTTACCATATGACTTGAGGCTCTGTTTGGCTAGTTTCAATGTCAGCTCAGGCCAAATCCATTGACATTCAATAGATGATTCAATTTGTATTGATGTAGAAGTCTCTTATTGGAACAGCAGGAAGAGCCCAGCAAAGTAGGAACAGAAAACAGAAGGGACGGGCAATTTCTACTATGAAAAGTCATGTTTGAGCTTCATATCAGGTCATCCCATAAGTAATGCGGTTTTTTTGCATTGCCAAACTTGTGTCTTGTTTATACGTGTATCTGTGCACATCTCATGGAATATTTATATGCTAACTTGTGTAGACGTTAGTCTTCCATCTATATGTAGGTTTTAACGAGTTAACAGCGCTCCTTTTTTCTTAGACGTTAAAAACAAGATGGAGGTGTCAGAGGAACACATTAGGCATATAATGCATTATGAATTTAAGAAAGGAAATAACGTGACTGCAGCCACGAAAAACATTCAAGATGTCATTGGTGGGGAAGCTCTAAATGTGAGGAAATGCCAATGTGGGTTCCAGAAATGCAGGTTTGGTGACTGCAGCTTAGCCGATGAAGCACGTTCAGGCAGACTCATTGAGTTCGATGATGACCTGCTGATAGCCACACTTGAAGATCAAGCTGTAACTGTTGAAGAACTTGTCGAGAAACTCAATTCGACCCATTCCACCATTCATTGCCGCTGGGAAAAGTGTCAAAACTGTGGAAAGTGGGTTCCGCATGTGTTATCACCAGGCAATCTTAGAGATCGGTTAAACATGTGCTCTTCACTGCATTCTCGTGAACTTCAAGTGCGTTTTTGAATCGACTCATTAGCAGGATCTTCTTCAAGTGTGGCTATCAGCAGGTCATCATCGAACTCAACAGGTCAGCCTTCATTGGCTAAGCTGTAGTCACCAAACCTGAATTTCTGGAACCACCATTGGCATTTCCTCACATTTAGAGCTTCCCTACCAATAACATCTTGAATGTTTTTCGTGGCTGCAATCACATTATCCCCTTTCTTAAATTCATAAAGCATTATATGCCTAATGTGTTCCTCTGACACCTCCATCTTGTTTTTAATGTCTAAGAAAAAAGGAGCGCTGTTAACTCGTTAAAATCTACACGTAGACTGAAGACTAACGTCTACACGAGTTAGCATATAAATATTCCATGAGATGTGCATAGATACACGTATAAACAAGACACAAGTTTGGCAATACGAAAAAACCGCATTACTTATGGGATGACTTAATAGTTTGCCACGGTATTGCTTCCTAAATCCCTGGGTTTTCTGGTCAGAGAGAGGAAAATAAGAGGAATGAAAGCATATAAAATGCTTAAATGTTTATATATATGTATGAACAATCAAATCCTTTATCTGAAGATGCATTCTCATGGTTGTTTGAATTGAGTTACTTCCTGTTGGCTCTTACTGGTTGAAAGTGCAGCTTCTGACATGAACTGACATTGAAGGGAGAAAGGAAATTGGCTGCTGTTCACACATCACCCCTTTCAGTGCGCATTTCTCATCAGCCATTGACAAAAATATAGATCTATTTTTCCATTTCAAATCAAGAAAAGGTTTAATGGGAGTTGCTTCATTAATTATATCCTCTGTCACTCTGGATATGGGCAATGACTGGGATAACATTGGCAAAGAAATTGGTGTAATGAATGTCAATGTAGGCTTGAATAAATTTGCTACTCATGACATTTTTAACTCTTGGTATGTATGAGACCTGCATACATGACTTTCAGTCATACGTCAGTAATTCCTGGTGTAGAAGAACATGTTGTCTTCTTGCAGAGAGGCCGAATAGAAGATATTGTGGTGGATTCCAGCTATAGAGGGAAACAACTTGGAAAGTAGTAAGTGCACTTAGTTCTGTGGTATCTTATTCTTTTTTGGATGAAACCTATACAATCTTTTCTTTTCATGCTAGTATTGTGATGCTACTGACTGGAATAGCCAAGAAGCTGAAGTGCTACAAGATCACACTAGACTGCAGAGATCAAATGGTGCCCTTCTATGAGAGCCTTGGTTACAAGAAGGAGCCAGGGAATGCAAATTATATGACTGTTAGGATTTCAGATTGAGATCAGGCAGAGGAATATCTTAATTTCCTTCAATGCAGTTCCATCATTCTTGCATCAAGAGATGAAGCAAGAGTCATGATTAATAGTTGCAATTTTAAAAGTTACCAGTGATATTACATGGTTACTATTATACCTTACTGTTATATTCTATAAGTTGCACAATTTTTTATCACTTATGTAATTATGAATGCCTTGATTTGTAATTTCCTTTCAGATATTTTTCTCCACATTAATTGAACATTCCGGAACAAAACTACCTCGTTCCTTCTATACTGTTCCTGATTTATTTGTTTCTGGTTGATCTCATATGCACCAAGTGCAAAATGATGGGTGCAATATGACTTAAAGGGAACTTTTATTCTTCAGAATAAATAGATATATATCTTAAGAAAAATCTACAAAAACTTTCTTGAAAAGTGATGCACACACTTACAGAAGGCAAAATATGTCAAAAAGAAAGCATATGGCAAGAGAAAATATCCAAGTAATTGAACGAACACCATGGAGATTTGAAACCAGAACATGGTAGAAATATAGACATGGAACTGTTCACATGAAACATATCAGTGCAAATGACAAACACCCATGAGAAATTGAGGCAGGCAACATATAATGAATGAAATCACTAGCATCACTAGAATGAAAAAGATAATATGAAATGAAAGACCCTCATAGAATACCTTTGGAATGTAGCCAAATCTTTGTGTTCTGGTCAAGCAAAATACTTTCAATTCAAGAATCGGATGGACATCTTCTGCTTTACGTCAGTTCTCTCCAGTGCATCGCAGAATTCTTGGAAACTGATCATGTGGTCTCCATCTTTGTCAGCTTCAGAGATAGTGCAGTCAGCAATACTAGAGAGCTGCTCCTCACTACAATAATCAAAACCAACATTGAGTAGTATCATGCAAAGGGATTTCCCTGGGAAAAATGAATTGACTACTTTGCTCATGTTATATTATCACTTATGTGGCACTTCTTGAACTTTAGCACTATAAATCCATGAGGCACTGTGTTTTTTGTGAAGACTCACCTGATGTTCACTCCAACAAGCATATGCAGAACAGAAAGCATTTCTTCCTTGGAGATGTAGCCATCATCATCCAAGTCATACATCTTGAAAGCAACTGCAATTAAATAAATTCATACATACAGCAGAGAGAAAAATATAAGCAAAACAGATACATTTCTTTAGAAAACTGAATGCACCTCCTGATGGGAAGATGATATACTTACAGGAGGAATACCTCTGAGTTCAAATGGAGTAGGATGTACCTTGGGCTAGCAGCTCCCAAACTAAGTGTATATGAGCCACTGATTCCTATTGGAACTATTGTAGCTCCAAAACTTTTACAGGTAGGTGATGACACGATTCAGTAACCTTTCTCACTGGCATGAGGATATGGAGGAATCTTAAAGGATAGCTCCAACTCAAGTGACAGGAATGTCAACATGGCTTAAACTTAAAAACTTCCTGCTGCTGTAATGTAATATGATGTAAAGCATTTAGCAAATGAATGGAGAAAAAGTGAGTGAGGAATAGATAAAAAATTTTTGCTGAAAACTCCAATCACTTTTCAATAGAGATGCATGAGTGTATTATTTGGTGAAATGCTCCATTTTGGACATAAACATGTATGACACCAAAAGGGCTAACTGAAAATCAACCTATATTAACACAAAAATTAACTTAACATTCAGTTTTTGGATATATGCTTCACTGCTTGCTTATTCAAGAGGTGTCGGGAGTATGACCCACAGGTCTGAACAATGTTTTCACATTCAAGTAAATTTAATGCATGGTAGGATTGTACCTAAAGTGCTTATTTTATTAAAATTGTTAAATCCCCAGCCTGAGGCTATCTATGGACTGAGGACAGTCTATAGAAATATCACACTAAATAATGTATTTTTCCCATTTTTAAACAGAATTTCACTTTTTTAGGGTTTCATGTAGTTTCCTAATTCTCCATAATATGCAAAACATTTGAGTCAAAAACTTTATATTTTGACATCACCTTCAATTCCTTCATAACCTACCTGGATCTTCATCATATCTGCCAGTGCTTTTCAATGAACTCACACCAGGCCTAGCAGGATAGTAATTGGTTTTACAAATTAAAGTCCCTATTAGAGCTGTTGCTATGGTACAATTGTTCTCAAAAAGAATTTCCTGACTATGGAAAACCTATCTTTGAAAGTCAAGGTGAGGTGTACAAATTCCATTCTTAATACATGAATGCAGTGGTTGGGAATCCATGGGACAACATCCTTTCAGCAGAAAACCAGCAACAAAATACCTGATGTTTGTTGAGAACAAAGTACTCTTTGATGTATACCTTTATAATATCAGGGCTGGAATCTCACCACTACACAAATTTTCTTGGCAATCGCACAAGTCAACTACATTTCCAAAATACTCACATCTCAACTTTTGCTCCCGTGAATTCAGCTTATCTTCCTGATTTTTAATGGGGCGGAATGTTGAGAGGATATGCACGAACTGCCTGAAGTTCACCCTGTCCTCAGTTGCATCCTGTAATGAAAGACATTCATTTATAACCAATGCAAGTATCCTTGATGCCTGAAGAATAACATAAAACACTTTAGAGTGGCCAGAGCTATAAATCAAACTAGTCGATTTGACAATTAACTCACAAAGAGCCTTCATCAAAACTTTGGATTTTGATAATTTTCTAATATAAAATCATATTATGAGAATCGACATCCTTTGGGCATCATCTTAGCAAAACTTGAAAAGAACTGCTTTCCTAATTTTTATGCAGCATTTTGCATTGAAGACCTAGGTATTACTTTCCAGTTAAGCCATGATTGCAAAATAGCTTCATACTTTGTCTGGTTCATCGCTCACACAATTCAATTTGAAATTTACTTAAATTTAAAATTGACTCACTTGGAAGAAAGCCCAAACAATCCTGTCACCAAGAGGGTTGATGGCAAGCTCAGGGATTCGGAGGAAATCTTCCCTGCTCAAGGTTCCATTGTCCCCTTTGTCCAGGCTGGTGAAGCGGCTGTACAAGCGCTCTATTTGGTTTGGTGAAACTGATGGAAAGAATAGGAAAAGGTCATACAATGAAGCACTCCAATAATATAAACATTAATATTAATTAATATATATTAATATAAAATTTTAAATATAACAAGCCTAATGAAAAAGCAATGTATTTCCAAAAATTGCTTGATAATTAAAGTTCACTTTTAATCAATCATGATGATAAATTGTCATTATAAATCTGTTGCAGCATACCCTGAAAAATGGCATTCAATGAAGAAGGCAAGCATACTATCAAATGTTTAAAACAGAAAAAATTATGGAGTGAAGAGATTACTAAAAGAGCTGTGACTATTGTTATGATTATATGTTTTTGAACTAAAATTGTTTATAATTTCATGTAGACAAACTAATAAATATAAGAGTTCTAATAAAATGTTTTTGGTCACAATTTTATTAATCACAGTGTAATTTAGTTCATTCTCTGTTCAAGATTCAAGGGTTATGAAATCAATCCTAAAACAGGGTACTGTCCCATAATCCTTCAGTTTAATATGGATGAAGAAGTCCTTTATGCTGGTTTGAATCATGTAATGATAGAATGGAGTATCATGTATTCAGAGCATGCCTAAGGGCAATGCATGACTCAAATGAGCCATTGTTTCAGATGCTGATGATAGCAATTTTTTCAGCTATTAGTGTCAAGCTTAATAGAACAATTACAATTATTCATGTAATTTCAAAATAAAGTCTTCAGTGAAGTGAAAACTTACATCCAGTTTCCTCATGTAGCTGCTTCAGTTCCTCCTCCCTCAACATGAGAGATGACCTATTTCCCATTTTTCAACTTGGTGATTTGTCAATTAGAAACGATCAATGCAAGGGTAACCTGAAATGCAACCATGTTAAATACCAATAAGATATAGAAGCAAGAGGACCCAGGATTAGAGTTCCCAATGGCTCATTTACAAATAACACACGAATCTTCAAGGTTTCAGTCATCTTCAGAGCTTCCATTGCATAACCTAAACATCATTTTTGCTGTTTTAGGCATACACCTTTCATGCAGATGGAACTTTGAGCCAGATCATTGGAAGATTAGATGCAATAACAGAAACCTCCGCAAGAAAAGGAATGAATTCTACCCGAAAACAAAATAGGCCTAACTATGGTTACACTTTACCACAGCACACATGGACCCCCCCCTTTCTCCATGACAGAGGAGCTAGTTGTCACTCATGTACGCGGCCATTTTCCACAGGGATGCTTTCCACAGGAATGCCCCAGAGAATTCAACAAAACAGTTTCAGCAGCAACTGACATATACGGGCATACAAGTTTTCACACTGTATCTTAATTTTATTTGCTTATGCCCAATACAATTCAGGGAGGAACTAAACTTCCTATAACTATATAAGAATTTAACCTTTTTTTCACCACCTCCCCCTCCCCCCCTCCCCCGCCCCCAGACCTCGACTCGCTCCTTTCGCAATTCGGCCTTCTTGCCGCTTTCTCCCCGTTGACACGTTCATTGAGTCATGGCTCAATGCCATCCAGAGAAATAAATATTGACTGAGATCCGAATGCGCATGACAAGAGAGGGGAAGTTTGCTTTGCATGTCGGACAAGATAAGATAGGAAAATTTATTGTAAAATTCCAACAATTTCATTCGAATCTAGAATTCCAGGAATATTTCATGATCGAAAGATACAACACGCTTGGCTTCACGTGATAGTGATTGCTTCGCACTAGGTTAGGTTTACTTTCGCAGATTTAAATCCCCAACGATTTCAAGATTTAGGAATGTGAAGAGGCAGTTCTGCCCATCGTGCACATCCCTTTACAAGATCGAGCATTCCTCACCTGCCCACCTAAGTATATATCTTTTTTTTTATACTTTTTTTTGGGTGGGAAGCATATCTTGACCTAGTCATCAATACGTAGCCACCCAATGCCTATCCACTTTCGTCTATAGCTCCCTTCTATTTGTTCATGAAGGCATCTGTTCCATGCCGTTGAATCGCTTCTATGGAACCACGGGTGGACCCAAAGATCCTAAATGTTGAGTTCTTTATCGATAGTTACACCTTGATCTTTCTCTCCGTTTGCTTCGTCGAGTTTTACTGCTGCGAAATATTCGAGAGACGTATCGTTTTTATGCTGCGAAGCGTTAAACCTCATGAGCCATTTCCAATCGTGCGTCAGCGAATCTGTTGATCTCGATGCAGGCCAGAAGGCGAAACGGTTCCTCGCCTTGCGAGACTCCGCTCCTAATCCCTATAATCCCTATAATTCCTATAATCCTATTCTAGTCCTACCCCTAATCCCGTGCGTCTCTAATTTAACCCGCAATCTCTTGTGGGGAACGGTATCGAAGGCCTTTGAGAAATCTCTATAGACGATATCCACGGGTTTCCCTTTTATTTCTCCGTTCCGTCATCCGATCGCAAAACTCGAGCAATCGATCACGCTGGCTCCTAAAGCCATATTGAGAGTCGTTACCGTCTAGGAAATCTAACACGAGGTCCCTCGAGCTGCTCTCCGTGGTCTTCCCTGGAATACTCGTAGGGCTTACCGGCCTGTTATTTCCCGGATTGCTCGCATCCCCTTTCTTGAAAATCGGTGCGATGTTGGCTAGTTTCCTGTCCTGGGGCACTTCTCAGGTTTTCAAATGTCTTTCTTAATGGTGCCGATACTTCCCCTCAGCCGTCCCCAACGTCAACCGACGAATTCAGACCAGAAGATCTGGAATATATTTACAAGGTGTGTTTTTACCGCTCTGACAGTGACTTTACTTCAAAGGCATACCACTCAACCGTTGTCCAAGTGCTTGAAGCCCCTTAACCCATTCATGACGTAATAGAACATGGCGACTCGCCGACGACCCACATGGTGGTCGTCCAGTGGTCAGGCCTAAGCATGACGAGTCTGGGGATTTCTCGGTCGTTTTTCACGTCGGTGTCTCACCGCGCACCGGGGCGATGGGCCCTCGCGGGTTTCCACACGTCTGCTCCGCTGGGGCCGATGTTCTGGGAGAAGGACGAGAGGTCGGGGTATAAGTCGCAGTTGGACGATGTGCCGCGGTTGAAGCTCGTCAAGGATGGCCTCAAGATGATGCCGTCGGAGTGCAAGAAGTGGATCGAGGAGTGGAAGGGGAAGCTGTTTGGGGATTTTGCGATGCCGAGGCCAGGTTGTGTGGTGTTGGATTCGAGGCTCTGCTTCGTGGACCTACCTGAAATCGTTTTCAGGCTTTTACTTATTTGGGAATGAATTTATGTACTTCAGGCATTCCTGACAACGTTTGGAAGTTCGACAGCGCAGAAGACCTGAGCAAGTGGACGGTGACGGTCGATGCCGACAACAGCGAGGGATTCAGCAGTGCGGAGTTGGTGCTCAGTCCCGTGGGGAAGGGTCTCTTCCAGGGAAACCTTTGCACTCTCGTTCCTCGGGAAGGTCGCATCAAGAGGACTGGGTATTGTGCTATGAAAAGCCATAGACTCACGGTAAGTCTGCCTACTATAGGCCTACATTGATTTTTTTTTTTATTGAAAAATTGAATCCCCCTTCTTTGTATGAGCCCTGAATCATGAAGTTTTTGCACAGTCTGTTTCCTTAGAAATGATTTTCCAGACTGTAGATGTGAAAAATGTTTTTAGTTATTGGCCCTAGAGATCACATGTGACAAAATCAGTATATAGTCCGACAAAATCCTATTATAACTGAATACCCTTCAGCTTAGGGGCTAAGTCTTGGATTCTTAAATTATCATTACTCATTACCTGAAAATACAGAGCATCCTTCATATTGAGTTGATGATTGCCATCATCAGAGTAACATCTGGAGTGGAACCTAAGTTACATACAGTTCATTTGCTAAATTTTGCTCTGAGGGAGTTCAAGTTGATTCATGAATCTGAAGAAGACTCAGACAGCATTTTCAGGGAAGGGAACTTCTTCAAGGGAACTTTCATGAATATAATTCAATGATGAACCTTTAATTGGGTAGGTCTCATAAAACATATGTTGGCCCTCTCATCTCTCTCACAAGGATGAACTTCAGTCTTCTTGACATGCTTGTAAGGGCATCCCCTCCTCCAATGACATGAGGCATGTAGCAGTTCATACATACAGTGGCCCCTTTTTACAGTAAGCATATCCTTTAGAGTGTTCATCCTATTGCTATTCTAAAATTCATAGGGTTCTTTGAAGCGTTTGTCAGTGGTCTTAAAGTGGTCCCATAGGTTTGATTCATCTTCAATGTGCTTTGAATCTCCCATCAGTAAGGGTTTTGCCCCTTTCATATAGATCCAGGCTGGGAAATGCCAATAATGCCAATAATTTAAGATTTCTTCACCAGGCAGAATTTAATTAATATACTTCACTTCTGGTATCCTCTGCTTCTAGGGGAACTAACTCAATAAAAAAATTACTGTGACTTCCCTTCTTAGATGAAGAGGTATATCATATTTATTCTATTAATCAAATTTTCTTTTTATTTCCCCAGAGGTCTTTTCAGAGGTATGATACCTATGATTGGAGAGACTACACTCATTTGGTGATGCGAGTCAGAGGAGATGGAAGAACATACATGCTCAATCTTCACACAGCAGGATTCTATGATATTCTGTGGAATGACATGTATCAATACCTCTTATTCACGAGAGGAGGTCCACATTGGCAGTATGTTAGGGTAAGTTTAATTCTAACTGTCAAGAATTGGTGTGCGTCCCTGGTCATGTTCCATTAATTTTTCATTGTCCTTTATTTGTAGATACCTTTCTCAAAATTCTTCTTCTCAAGCAAAGGCCGAATTCAAGACAAACAGTTCGCCATTCAGCTCGACAGAGTGAACAGCCTGGGCATTGGGGTTGGAGACAAGATTAATGGCCCCTTTCGACTGGAGATAGACTATATTGGTGTGGAAATGGATCCCAGTTATCAAGAAGAGTTTGCCTATGAACTTTATACAATGCCAAAATACACCACTGCACATTGATCTTCACCTGAAAAAAAATTTCATTGGTGTTTAGATACATGTGTGTGAACAAAGCTGTGATATCTAGTCATTGAATAACATTAAATTTGAACTGTGCTGTAACAGTACTGTGGTTGCATTTTCAAACTCTCTCACACCTATCTCAACAACAACAACGTGAACATGTCAGGAATAATTAGAAATGTGAAATTCCAATAATTTTTAACATATAGATTTGACACTTATAAAAAAAAAAACCTAATGGCAGTCAACATTCCCATATTATATCCACCAAGATGTCTCATTCAAGAACATGGGTGTCTTGGGGATAACATGTGAGGCACTTCAAAGGATGAAAGAGAGTGCCAGCAAAGCGTCGCATGACTAGACTTTATTATAAAACAATACAATTATTCCTCATGGCTTTCAACAAAACAGAAGTTTGTTCAAGAAAAGCAAACATACAAAATATTCATTTTCAAAAATCAAAAAGGCTCAATCACCTTTCTTTAATATTCGGTAAGTCTCCTTGGAAAATACGTAGCTGAGACCCGAAGCAATAGTGGTACCAGCTGTGATGTACCTGGGAAGAAATTCATCTTGTTAACTGAAGTTATGCTTGCAGATGTGGGAGTCATGCAATAAAACTTACCACAAATATATGAGATATTCATGCTGAATAAAGGAGAAGACAGGTGCACCAAGTGTGCATGCAACTAGCAACAGCTGCACCCCTGTATTGAATTTGCTGATTGTGGTGGGTGCCAGCTGGGCTGTAGCATGTGTGGCATCAAAATATCTGCTCAGTGTTCTCTAAAGATCATGTAGTATCTGTGATCAGTATCAGTAATATGAGATCAAGTGCAGGTTGAAGGAAGAGAAAGTCAAGGTCTCACGGGTGGTGGAAGAGATCGATAGCGAATATAGAAGCCTGCTGACATCAGACAGATATCTCTGGCAATTATCAAAGTTGTCAGGGGCACTGGCAAACAAAAAAAAAACAGTCAGGGGCTCCAAAAAGCAAAGCATCATGTGCAAATGAGAGAGCTGCTTACATGGAATGAGATCCTTGTATGTAAGAGACAGAAAGAGGACGGCAACCAAGACCTTGTCTGCCATTGGATCGAGGAAGCTACCAAGCATGCTTTGCTGGTTCCTGAAGTTTCTTGCAATCATGCCATCACACTGTGGAGATCATGAACAGTGATGTCATGCAAAAGTGACCTTCCCTTTCACGTAAAAAAAAAAAATCACAAGATGTGATAAGTGATGAGAGACCACATGACACAGCAATAAAAATGGTAACTACAAGGAAAATGACAAAGTGGTAACACTTATGGTAAAATTGGGACCATTCTTTGAATATTTAACAATTGATCAAATGAACTTTCTCTGGTGCATTGTTACATTGTAAATTATATTAATGGAATTGTTGGATTGTGATGAAACTTTCACCCTCACATCATTTGACCTGAAAATAACCAGCCCTCTAGTAGCAAAGAAATCCAAATACAGTCAGACCTCATTATAATAAAGTCCATGGGACAAGAGCAAAAATTTATTATGGTTTTTATTATAGAGAGGGATTTGCTCATCAGCACGTATGAATTCCAGCATGTAAAATATTGAAGATAGAGTCTATCCCTTAATATAATAAAAATCTCCTGAGAATGCATTTTGTTCTGCTCCCAAGAACCTTATCATAATGAGGTTTGACTGTAGTTGCTAAAACCGGTCATGCTTACCAAGTCAGTTATGCCAGCAATGACAAAGAGACCAAGTGCCATTTCAAAGGAGCCATGTATCACCAGATAACTCAACCAAGGGGTCAGACAGATTCTTGTCACACAAAGGAGGTTTGGGATAGTCCATATATTCTCCCTCTGCCAGGGAAGTAGAGAACTCAATTGGTGCAAGTGCAGTCACTCACATGCAACTTTTTGAGTCTTGTCTCTCAATCACATCTTGAAACTTTCGTGAATGCTCTCAACTTACAAGACATATTCCATGCACCTCACCTTTATCATTTCTTCCATGCGTTCTCTCACCCTGTCTCTTGTTTCTTGAATCTCCTTCATTATGGCTTCACCTTTCTTCCTTGGCCCATCTGTCCCTCTCGGCAAGCTTGAAAGACCCAACCACATCGGAGTCGACTCCTTTGTGGAACTCTTCCACGGACCGAAACCCGCAGAGGCACATAGATGCGGGGACGGCTGGCTCCTGCGAAAGAAGCAGTGGCATCTGCTTTGAGGTTTCCATTGATGTCTTCGGAGGCAATGAAACAATGCAGTCCTGAACACCACTGGAATGGATGGCACTAGCATTTATGATGACCATCAAATCAATGAGTGATGGAACTTTCTTATGATTTCAACCTGAGGGTAGAAAATTTAAGTTGAACACATCATCATTTCTATACCATTAAAAAACCTACCTGTTTATTGTCACCCCTCATGATTTCCATTATCATTAGGAACCAGTTTCTGACATGAAAAAAGGCTCACAATATTATTGGTAGGCAATAATAATATATTTCCCACATGCAACAGGGATGCCATTTTATAAGGGCTTTCACCTGTCCCTGAAACTCTGCCTTTGCTGTGACACAGATATAGCATGCCAAAGGCTGCTAATAATCATAGCAGACAATCATCTCAATTTAGGGAGTTGTTTTAACCCTGAACCATAACTGTGCAATTACTACTTATTCTTTCAAAAATGCATGCTAACTGAAAAAGCAGTAATATTACCAATTGAAGAAAAATGACTAGATCAGGACCCAACACTTTTGATTCTTCCAATTCCAAAAACAGACTAAAAATACAAGACAGTAACCTTTACATAACCTTTTACAGAAGGTATAGTCAAATGAAAGTAATTCAGCAGATACCACAAGGAAGGGAACACTGAATCGCTTCAACTTCACCATACCTCTCACATGACTAATGTACCTACTGGTGAGGGTAGGTCTAGAGACAGTGCATGCCAGTCCATTCTATGCTGGATCTAGACTCAGAGATACAAAATTCCCCTGGCCCTACCTTTTTCCCTTACTGGAATTTTAACTATGGGATGACAGAGCTGGTTGGCAGGCTGCCAAAAATCAAGGATGTGAATCAGAATATAAAATTCTCAATCCCCATCAATCCATGTCCAAGTTTCTTCTGAGCAAATAAAAATACTATATAGGTGACAGTTAAACAAAAATCATTATCAATGTGAAGTATTTCTTGTGTGACAGATTTTACAACTATAATTTGACAGTTGACTCATACTACTGTAACTGGGGTTCTCCAAATTGGGACAGGAGAGTAAATGCCATCTTTTATAGTAATTCACCATCCAGAGGGCTGCCAATTGTCTGGTTCACATCAAATGTCCTGGCTGCAAGCCACCCTCTTAAACCAGATAGTTCATCTTTGGCCAGTTGCCAAAGTTTGCATAAACCATTGACCTTTAGGCCTTGTTGAATAGAAAATGAAGGCACACCAGGTGGAACAGCATGGCATCCCGAGTAAATATCAGAGGTGAAACGAAAATCGATTTTGTGACTGAGGAACTCATGGAGGTAAAAATAGATTGGTTAGGCCCGTCAGATAGGAAACCGAGACCGAGACAGAGAACCAGTCGCCAAGCCTTCTGAAACCATCGAAGGATGCATGACTACTTCCGAATGAGCGTGAAGAAGGTGGCCACCTTCTAGGTTCTATTCATTTTAATACCCACCAGACCCAGGGCAGACAACTGGCCGATGCTGAAACGAGTTCCTTTAGAATTCAGCTTTAACATTAAAATGAAACTAATTGGCGGGCCTCGGAAAGTACCTAAACCCCCTTAAAAAGAGATGCGAGAGTGAGGTTGGGTATACAGCCAGCTGTCAACACCATTAACAACATGCTTGCAGCCGCAAGGTCCACTTGGACGACGCCATGACAGGCTTACAGAATCCGCTGGTTGGATCTCCCAGAGAGCCAGGGAATCCGATAACTACGTTTCGTGAACGCAGCCCCTGTCGAACGAGTGATTGCCTTATGTGGTTCGGGTCTAGTTCCCTTATATACCATAATGTTGGGATTAATTTTGGACTATGTGCATGCTGTGGTAAACGGCAATACGAAGTAGACAAGGCCTAGAATCACATGGTGCTGAACACCGAATCTTCTTTTCACACTCATGATTTACCGGAGCATTTCTTCGTCTCTCCTTGTCACTACCCATTATTGTTGCATATAGGGGATGCTACTTACCCCTGCGCGGTCACGGTCAAGTGCGTACCACCTAGGGATATTGTGTTCCTTAAGTAAGGCCAGGCCAGCCCAGGTTAGGTTAGGTTTGGGGGGGATGGTGTGTATTATATACTGAATAAAAGGGAATACCAATCGCTGTAGAATGGTTCCAGTTGAATTCATCTGGAAGCATTTGAGACTGAGGGAGTGCAGTATCGTTAGGGGGTATGCGCTTATCGTTACCAGTAAAGCGTGCCTATTTTCACTTTCTTTTTTACTATCATGTGGAGAAATGGGAGATTCTTGCAGGGTCTGCAGAGAAACTTGGGAACATCCAGACCTATTGTAGTAATGTGTGCAAAAAAGCTTGCAGCTGGATTCCTGATCTCTGTGCAAATAGGCCTGAGGCCCTTCCCTCATGTGGAGAGCAGTCACATTCCTAAGTTTTATATGGAATGGGTTCAAAATGAAATGACAGGATCATACTCTAGGGATGTAGGAGGGTATTTGTTAAGTGCGTACCCGCAGACAAAATTGCACTCCTTCAGTCTCAAATGTTTCCAGTTGATTTCAACTGGAAACATGCTACATCAATTGGGATTCCTTTTATATATAATACACACCAACCCCCCTAACTCTGGCCTCACTTAAGGAGCAACACAATATCCCTAGGGGGTACACACTTAACCATGACCAGTTTTACCTGGGAAACATACTGCCAAAGACTAATTTTTCTGGTACTTTATATATATATTCTCAATTAAATAAGTAAGACCCTCCAATTATTTCCTTTATAAATGACCCCTTTCAGAACTGGTTTTTAAGGTTCCTGGATGTTGAAAGTAATTTTGTGTTGACAAAAAGGAATATTTGTATATATTCAGCATTTTCTCAGGAAATTGTCTCAATTTTAATGCCTGATTACCCCTCCCTAGCATCAGTGCTCACCATCTAGCTTCTTTTTGTTGAGGCTTCAACAATTATAGCATCATGAAAGGTGTATTTTCCTTACCATGTCAAATGGAGCTGGATTCATATTGAGATAAGTGATTATCCCTTCAGTTCCAGGATCATCCTTCCCTCTAGTAGGAATATCCCTAGGTCTCCTCAATACAGGGAAAATGTGACAGTTTTGGAGGTTTTAATTCAAGTGTAATATGTTGTACGTTGCTCTTCAACTCTTTGTTCAGGCTTGTCAATCATGTCAATCAAATTTGTCAAAATTTGGGTCTATAGCCACCAATACTTGAAGGGTATTAGCAAGTTTTGTTGGTTCATATTCTGTAGTTTAGGGGTACTTTAGTCTTGGTCTTCATGTTGTTTCTCTGGGGCTATTTTCTAACCAATTGTAAAGGAATTCAAGCTATATCTGGAGCATCAAAGCTTTACCAAATTAGACTAGACACAAGGATCTAGCCTTATTCACATATACATACAATTGTTTGCACCTGCACTCTTTGAAATAGGACCTCTTGGGACAAAGTGTCAAAATGACGACAATCAAGAGGACTGTGTATGTTGGTGGATTAGCTGAAGAAGTGGACGAAAAGGTACTCAATGCTGCATTCATTCCATTTGGAGAGATTGTGGACATTCAGATCCCTTTGGACTATGAGACAGAGAAGCACCGAGGCTTTGCCTTTGTTGAGTTTGAATCTGCAGAGGATGCAACTGCAGCCATCGACAACATGGACGATTCTGAACTCTTCGGGAGGACCATCCGAGTGAACCTCGCTCGCCCGTTACGAATCAAGCAGGGCTCTTCGAGGCCGGTGTGGTCGGCTGACGATTGGCTCAAGAAGCACGCCGGGGAGACACTCGGGAAGACTGCCGAAGGGGAAGCAAATCCTGAAGGAGCCGAGCAGAACGAGGGAGAGTCCGGAGAGCCAGAGGCAGAGGCAGAGGTGGAAATTCCAGCTATGCCCAGGAAGAAAAAACCAAACCCTCAAGTGTACCTGGACGTCAAAATCGGCAAGGCCCTCGTGGGACGGATCACGATCCTCCTGCGTGCCGATGCCACACCACGCACCGCTGAGAACTTCCGCTGTCTGTGCACTCACGAGAAAGGTTTTGGGTATCAGAACTCGACCTTTCATCGCATAATACCCGGGTTCATGATCCAAGGAGGAGATTTCACAAACCACAATGGAACTGGGGGAAAGTCAATCTATGGACCAAAGTTTCAAGATGAAAACTTTACATTGAGACACATTGGCCCTGGTACTGTTTCCATGGCCAATTCTGGACCAAACAGTAATGGGTCTCAATTCTTCATCTGCACAGAGAGGACAGAATGGCTTGACAACAAGCATGTCGTATTTGGACAAGTGATTAGTGGGATGGACGTCGTGAAGAAGATGGAAAAGTATGGTTCCAAATCTGGGAAGCCCTCAGAGAAAATTGTCATTGCCCACTGTGGGGAACTTGTGTGAAGCACTTGAGTATGACCCTTTTATGAAAGTGCTTGGTCCATTTGTGAAAGGATCAATCAGCATTGGTTAAAATTCATTTGTTGGGCTGAGTTGAGTTCAACTAATTGTTGCCAATAAATGTTTTGCTGGTACTGATATATTTTATGCTCATTTGCATCAACACTTCAAATTTATTTTTTGGGGGACATGCTGTATGTGATGACCAAGAATAAAGGATCATTTGTAATAATTCACATTGCTTGTTTTCCAAGCAGGATTGAAGTAATTACTCGTTATACTTTTTCCAGCAGAAGCATTGAGACACATAAATAGCTCTAGTGTAATCAAGAAGGTTTAAAAATAAGTGGATGCCAGATTCAGAAGCTCAAATACTTGTTTGAGAGACCATGAAACAGTCCCATCTTCAACTATTATTATGAGATATGGAAATCCATATGAATGCTGAAGTTGCAATCAACACTGAAAAACGATACAGCTTCATGGTGGAGTCCATTTATCATTTGGCCCACAGTTGGCCTCTGCCCAGCCTTCACTTGGCACCTTTTGCAAATGTAATGACTGCCTGCCATTCCACAGATGTTTTTGAGGCTGACATCCATTCGTGTTCGATGGGTGGAGCTTGAGGACCCCCAATGGGATGAAGCAAACAATGAAGTTCGCAGTTGACTACATAGTATCTAAAATAAGGAGGTTTGGTATGTCACTTCCAGTTTGCTAGCTTCTTGGCATGAGATGATTCTTTCAAAAGCACATTGCTATCAATGACCAAGACAGCTAGAATGAAACACAGGAGGTTGTTTTTGTTAGTAAATTTTTTATTATTCATATGTACTTATTCTCTGATTGAAGAAAATTTCATCTAGATTTCCACAGATCTTGCTTTTAAATAATCCTCATTCTCATGTGGGGTTGCTACACAGTAGCCATCACAGTCATGGACTAATCATTGCTACGCAAAGGACAGGACGTGTCCGCTGTATGATATTAAAAATTGAGGACTGATTAACACAACCAATTTCAAATTTCATAAGAGAATCCAATATCCCATTTGAGTCAAGCAATACTCTCAAGGCTCAAGCAAATCGGTTATCACCTGCCGAGCAGATGGTCGCAAGCATATCACACCGACAATAACTTAAAAGACGCTTGGGTTCTTCACCGGGTGCTCGAGACGTGAACCGTCTCCGGGAGGTTCTCCCGTCGGATGTCTGACTAGCTGTGAACCCGATCCTCGCCGGATCGCCTCACAATCGGGTGGAATATCCTCCGAGTTCGTAGAACAGGAGGTATGCCTCCCCACTGACGAGACTGTTTCGTGAGACCTTCGACACCCTGTAACGGAAATTGCAGTGACGGCCGTCATGATCGCTTGTAAATGTCGATTGCTATGTACACTATCATTTGTGTGAGTCTTTCCTCATAGATGAACCTTTTGATAGAAATAAAAGACTTAAGCGAATTCGGGAAAATACATTTTCTCGTGTTCTACTTGGTATGATACAAACATTTGCTTCTACTTATTTGCGTATAATACAAGAAAGCGTTTACCAGTGCTTCACATTATCACAATGTGATGCCCATTCAAATAACCTCAATCTGTGAGGAATGGATTCTACATTCTACATGAAGCTTTCTCTCATGAATCTCCAACATTTCCATTCAAATCCCAATAACAGCCTGACTATTCCCAGCACTGCCAAACACTGCTTCCTGCCATCTCTAGTTGAAAACGGAAACTAAAGCATGAAGTGACTATTTCCCTTAACCCTTTCCCCCACTTTTCTACCAGCCCCCTCCAACGCCTCACCTGGCATCGTTGAATTCGTACCAATCGTTTAGGTACGGGTGCTTGCAGTAGGCCGTGTAGTGACCCGAGTACGTCGTGCCCGAATGATTGGCGATTCCATAGAGATTGTACGTGCACTGCTTCCCGCTCGACGCGGCGTACGAGGACATGTCCAGATTGTTCACGGGGAACTCCACCGTCGTGGACAGCTTCGCGCGAAATCGCTCGTGCGGCGAGAACCGCTTCAGGTGGATCACCAGGATCTGAGGGAACTTCTGGATCGTGAAAGACTTGGTGCACTTCTGCCTCGTCTTGCAGCTCGAGCAGGTCTGCGAACGGGACAGATCCGCGTTGAAACGAGGGGGGAAAACGTCAGGA